CGATGGAGTGAGCGAATTGATATTGTAATATTAGGTTTGTTGGTGGTTTGTTGGTGCCCTTCGTTTCTAGTTTGTCAAATCCTTGGTGTTTGGATTGGCTGGTTCTGTTTAGGTTGTTCTACACGGCCTCACGTAAGGAACGCACCGCCCTCACACAAGGAATGCATAGGCATATCCTTCGCAAAAGGATAGAAGTGGGGAGGATGGGACTTTGGAGGATGAGGAGGATGTGGAGCAGAGGGGAGGATGAGGAGGTTAGGGGAGTGACTCCTCAATCTTCCCCTCCCCCTACTCCTCGGACTCCTCTGGCATCCCTTCAGAAGAATGGGGAAGCGACGGAAGAGGCGAATGAGGAGACGGTGAAGATGAGGAGGGGGAGGAGGAGGAGGAGGAGGAGGAGGAGACGAAGGAAGAGGAGGACGAGGACGAGCCGAAAGAAAAGGAGGAGGAGGACGAAAAAGGATTCAGCAGATCCTTGATGGCGATGCGGAGTAGTGGGGGCGGGCAGGAGAAGGAGACGAAGGAGTATAAAGATAATGATAATCAGGACGAGACGAGAGAAGATCGATGAAGTGTGAGAGAGAGAGAGGGAGAACCACCATCATCACCAACATCATCATCACTAACATCATCATCACCAACATCATTAGCATCATAGCCGTCACAACAACAGTCGCTATCACCAGTGCCCATTATCATCATAACCATCATCACCGCCATTCGAATCACCAAGAAAAATATTACCACCATCACCAACCTCACCAATATCATCACTTTCGCCATCATCGTCACTTCCAATCGTTATCATCAGTGCTTCGCACCATCATCACCATAATCATATCTAGCGCGAGCAGAATCACCAGCATCACCACCACCACCATCAACACCATCACCAGCGCCGCCATTAACGCCACCCCGCCACCAGCAGAACCATCACCACCATCATTACCACCAGCATCACCATCACCATCATCATCGTCATCAGTGTCGTCGCTGTCACTCTTGTCGCACATCGCCATCACCAGCGCGCGCCATCAGCATCAGCTACATTATACTCATACCTATCGTCATCACCATCACCATCGCCACCATCATCACGATCGCCAAAACCATCATCAACACCACCATCACTACCCTCACCACCATCATCATATTCGAAAACATTATCACCAAAATCGACACTGTCACCAGCAACCGCCATCGCCAGCTTTGTAACAATTCCTCTAGTCCTCCGGTCCTCCCGTCCTCAGGTCCTCTGGTCCGCCGGACCTCCAGTCCTCAGGTCCTCCATGTCCTCTTCGTCTTCCAGTCCTCTGGTCCTCTGGTCCCCCAACCCTCTGATTCTTTGGATCTACCGATCTTCTGGTCCTCTGGTCCTCTGGTCGTCTGGTCGGTCCATGCTGATCCTCTGGTCCACTGGTCCTCCGTCCTCAGCTCCTCTGGTCTTCTGGTTCTCTTGTCCTCCTGTCGTCCTGTCCTGTGGTCCTCCGGTCCTCGGGTCCTTCGGTCCTCCCTGTCCTCAGGTCCTCCTTGTCCTCCGGTCCTCTGGTACGGTCGATGTCTCGATGGATCTCACTCGATCGATCCCACTCGATCGATCCCACGATTCGACATCAGGATCGATATCACTGTCGGCATCGCTGTCGATCTCAACAACGATGTCGGTATCGATCCCGCTAACGATGTCACGAACGATCTCGTTATCGATGTCACTATCGGGCTCACTCGATCGATCTCGCTCGATTGACCTCACTCGATCGATCCCACGATCGACCTCGCTATGGATCTCAAGCGATCGATCTCGCTCGATCGATCCCACTATCGCTCTCAGGATCGATCTCACTACTGATCGCACAATCGATCTGACGGTCCCTCTCCCTATCGACCTGCGCCAGCCTGTGCATCGGGCCATGGCGGTCACAGGGGGGCAGGAGGAGAAGTGAGAGGAGAGGGAGGATCGAGAGCTTGGAAGGTCGAGGCAGAAGGAGGAGTAATCAGGAGGAGGATCGAGGACCGAGAAGGACCGAAGAGGACGGAGTTGAGGACAAGAACAAAAAAAACCGAGGATCGAGGGCACTGGCTCGTGGACGAGAGGGACCAAGAAGATGAGGAGTAGGATCGAGGATCGAGGATCGAGAATCGAGAGACGAGAGTGAGGGGATCGTCGTGGATGAGATGGCCGTAACATACATGACCATTCTTCGGGTCATACGGAGGCTCGGGGGAGGATCGACTTCCAACTCAACCTATATCAATGGGATGTCACTGTCGATGGCCCTATCGACGGAAACTATCGATGTCATTATCGAGGTCATTACTGTTGTGCCTTTCGATCTCACTATCGATTTCGCCGTCAATCCCACTACCAATCTCATCATCGATCCCCCATCGATCTCACTATCGATCCCTGGCCATCTCACTCGATGGATGTCACTTGATTGATGGCACTATCGATCGAGTGAGATCGATCGCCCTTCAATCCTCCGGTCCTCGGGTTCGC